TCCGGACTTGTGATATAATGCATAGAGCGCATTCTGTAACAACTGCAGAACCTGGGTCCGCACAAACTGTCCTCGATTGATTCTGTCGCTACTTAGCTTACCACTGGATCTCTCTGACGTTCAACCGCACTACTACTATTTGGAGTTATGTTTGCTTGTCAAACGGCAATACTACTGGCTTCTCATAGGGTGTATTTAACACCATAGTGACACGGCTGAAGAAACACTGCCAGTATCCTTGGCCAATTTTCTGTCAGCAGGGACGGTCATTACCACTTCCGACAGGCGGACTTGCTCCGTGTATGTGCACGCCTCTGCATTAAATTATCAGCGCACCCAGTGCTTTGACAACCTGCGTTTTACCGCGCCCTGTAAAATAATGATGGCCTGTCTGCGCAAACTGAGTGCTTAGATCGGAAGAACGCGCAGTCGCAAGCTCCAGCTCCTCTTCTTCTTCTCTTTTTTTCTAGCTCCTCTGTTGTTCTTCTTCTCTGCTTCTCTCCTCGCTTTATTCTCTTTGAGTTAAGATGAACCATTGCAGTGAAGCCGCTTGAGCGCCAGTGCGTGCGTAGAGAGGACTTGCTCTGTTATTGGCAGCTACAGGTCCTAGGATTTCTGTTTTAACTGTTTCGCTACTCCCTCGTCGTTGTGTGGCACCGTAAGCGTTCTAAAATGCCCACGTAAGTAGGCACCGCAGTTTTGTTTTTCTTGAACTTACGGTGGAAGGAGTCAGATTTTAACCTGCTGTAGATCAAGCTTTTGTGCATATGTAAATGTCCTTTGTGTACTTTATAACGCTGCACCGCTGTGATCCACGAAAGCCGGGCGTGAACCACTACATGCTGTATGCACTGAAGCTCATGACTGAAGATTTTCGACATGCGTTCGAATGAAAAAAATATCGTTGGAGCGAGGAGTCAAATGGTTACACATGCCGGCTTTTGACTGGCGGTCTTCTTGATCCCTTTTTGCAATTCGATCAGAGAGCAACCGCTACTTGAGGTTCGTGTACTTTCAGGTGGCTTCCCGATGCCTGAGTAGTTGAAACTCCTACTTCGTTGAGGGTCTGCATACAAAGTTCATAATTTATATTTGCGGGACTACGTTATTTTCCAGTTTCGTGCCCGATAATGATAATCAGGGTCTTCTTTGTAACTGGACCCCCGCTCTATCTTACACTTAAGGCTCCGGAAACAACTTCAAATAATCCTACGCGCCCGAATAAAGAGGCCGCTCAGAATTTATACTTGAGTTCGCAGTGAAGATAGTTTATATCTCTCCCCCCCACCCCGACAAGACATTGGAGCAGAAATCCCTCGTCATACAAGTAGCTTTGCGCTGAATTCAAGGGCGATTAGGATTAAAATGAAAAGTAGGGGTTACAGTTAAGAGAAGGGGTTTAATCTATGGTTTGGATTGGAGTTTGTGTTAGCGTTAGGACACGGAAATGTTTGCCCTAACTGGAATCGAACGCAATGTCGCCTGTATTTCGTGAGAGTGGGGGCGTTTCTCTTCGTATGTCCTGCCCTAGGGGAAGGGTGGTGGATGGAACATATAAGCGAACGCGACCTACTCACCTTTACACTGTCGTCAGTGCTTAATTTTGGGCCCTTGTTTAAAGTTTTTTGCCTACTGAAAGTTTGTAGTCCATTCTCGACGCTTTTTGTTTACTAATTCGATAGGACATCTTCCCTAATTTAAAGCTGCTCAAAAATATCACCGAAGAGTTCAGTATTTAGTCTCGGTATAGGAGCCTTTCCGTAAGACATGCTACAGGAACTTTGCCCCCAGTCTCCCATGCCAACTTGTCTGACCAATGGACTCAAGATCATGCAATGCAATCCGGCATCTGAAAGAGGCATCCGATTGCTGACGCATACATTTTATTCGCCTGACACTTCATGTTCCAACTCCAGTCCTTGCCCAGAGCCAAAAACAGTTAGACGTAGCGGACGTACTGGTAATGCGGTATTTATACGATGCAGCAGCTATGTCGCCAGGTACCTATTAGAATTAGCAGCTGCCGCATTCTTCACAGATTGTCCTACTGCTAAGATGCATGCTATGTCGCACACCTAGCTGTCATTTATCGCGATTTCATCACTTGTGCTGGCCATCGGCGGTATAATTAAACTCCGTTTTTACCCTTCAGGTGATTTGGGCGTCAGCATGTCAGGGTCCCGTCAAAGGAGTAGTCTCTCTCGCATTCACTTGAAGCATCTTTCTCCGTCCCATTGTCCGCCAATAAACTGTCTACTGTCTTACGTCCTTTCTGATCCCAGTTTCATTTTTTTGACGAACCTACTTACTGCGAATACTTCGTTCTCATAAACCAATTAGTCATTCCACAATCATATATGTAAACACTGCTTCCATTGATTGTGCGGGTGAACTAAATTACGGCGTACCTATCAGGCTATCCGCGAACACCGGTGATGAAAGAGCGGCGATTAACCTCTTGCATGCGGATAATCGACCAAGCGCGACTATCGGCGATGCACGCAAAACCTGCTGATTTTATCGTGTGTTTCGGTTCATCAACTGCGTCCTGTAACTACTGCACACCTCAATGCGTCCGCCACCATTTTTTCGATTGCCGTCCTGGTGATATGTTCGAGAGTGAATTTGAGACGTCAGGCGAACAAATTTCTTATTCTAACGGCCTGTCTTCCCCTCGTCTGCCTCCTGGAACTTGCCTTTTCAATTTTACCGGAAAGTGAATATGTACGGTCGTTGTGTATCGCTGGGAACGTACTGTTAAAACGTTCTTTTTAAAAAAGGATCTGGTTTGCCCAAACATTGATGCTTCGGATGCTTCACGAAACACTAGAATGTTCCCGTATAAGAACCGATTGGTATTGTTCTAAAAAGGATGCGTAAAAGTAGGATTTATTCTATCTCCTTCATAGGAAATTTTCACCCTGAGAGTGGTACTCGAGGAAAGAGTTATTTCGGTTTTGAACACACTTTGGAGCAGGGATTTTTTGAACCATTTACATGCTTGACCTGTTTTATGCGCGCTGCATTTTATTGTTTTTGTAAAGTTCCTTCAACAAAAGTACTTTAGATTTGCGAAAATTTCCATGAAGGGATTCAGAAGACCGTTGGCCAACGTACGCATGCTTTCAATAAATTACCGTTCTCATGTAGCTTGGAGTCGTTAGAAACAGTTGCTCAAAGGACTGTGTTATTGACGTTTTCTAAAACGGACATTTTCCCCTTCTTCAATCGCCATATTAGAACAAAGTATGCTTTCCTAAAGAACTTTCATAGAAAGGTCAGTCAAAGGCCACATAAGAAAGGACTTTGGGTTAGGTTCCCTATTAATCAGCTTCGCATTTTCATCTACTTATTATTCTCAATTCAGAGCCCCTGCACATGTTTCCGTCAATGCTTTGTGAGTTTCCGCGTATACCGTAGACGGGAGATCAAACTAGTGCGAACAAGTAGATGCGATCAGTGAAACAGGGACTTCATTCGCTTGACATTGCGGTATCACGCTCTAACCCGTCAAGGCTATGTCAGCGTTGTGTTGTAACGAATGCGAAAACCGATATTCATACATTAGCTCTGATTTTCTCAAAGCCTTCTTATCTCATGTTATTTGAGGGAGGGGTGAAGTTACGGACTGAATCTATATTGTAGTAGAAGTTTGACTGCTTGGAGCGAGTAGGCTAACTGTTATTGAATTCAGCCCTATCTCATGGCAGCAGTCCAAAATGAGTGCAGGCACTGGCGACCACACTCTTACAACCAACGCCCACTCTATGGACTTCGTTCTGTCTGAGTGCCAAATTTTCAGTACGGACTCACGGGCGGGGGAGGGAGGGAGGGGTTGACGCGTTGTCTGCAACCTGCGCTAATTGACCTTAGCTGTGGTGTTGATACGGAATGCCTATATTTGACAACTTCTGTCACCTGTCCACACTGTCGTATCGATCCTGAACGGCTGCCGCATGCCTAAGGTTTCGGATAACCTTAGTCTACGAAATTTCGCAGTGACTTGCGCAGAAAGCTACATATTCATATTAGGTTCAATATGCGAACTATTTCACCACATTGAGCGTTCTTCGCCGAGCTTGTACGGAACTGGTAGGCAAATTTTACCAACCAGGTCGCCAAAATCGGCATTATACAAAATTTAATGGACCCGACGATTCGACACGAAGATAGGAACCCTCGCATTACCGGTAGTCCTATGCCAACACAGATATGGGTGAGGTTTAAGGCCAGAGTTGGGTCAGGATTAGAACACAGAAACTGGTACCCCTACAGGAATTTAGCGCAGAGCCAACTGCATTTCCTAAGGGGTTTTTATTCTCGTCTCTTGCAGGCCCAACTTCAGTGGCCGAAAGATTCGAGTATCTTGCCCGCAGGCACTTGCACTGCTGAGCAAGTCGCCAGCTCTCGAAATCTCTTTTCAATTATTCCTCGGTATGCTCAGTAAAGGGCTGGGTAGCCGCTGTATGCAGATGACCAAATATCTAGTCGATAATACGCCCACCGGCGTGAGACAAACGTCATATTTCACCATTGATTATTGATTTTATTTGCCAATTTTATTTAAACTTCCGAATGGCCAGAATGTAGACCCGTGTTGTTACCCTCTGGGATAGGGAGGTACAGGGTCGTTGACCTATTACTTATCTTCTCAGTAGAGGAGAACTGCGACTAATTGTAAAAAATGCTCTTCGTACCGAACTCCTTGACGGTTTTTCCCACTAACTTTGGGATTCCGTATCTTGCGTTTTCCTTGTTAAGGACCTATAGCCTCAGGCTCTTCCGAGAAGACTGCAGTCGAAACATAGCCTTTGTCGCTTATTTCGCATAAACACAAAGTGGAACTAGGACTTGCATGGCGAGGACTGAATCTTGGAAGCTGAGGCATTATCCCTTATTAAATCTAACCAAGTGACCCCTGCCCGTCGTAAAGCCAACTGTCTGTCACACTTCAAAACCACGATTTTTGAATTCCGTTTTCACTTGTCTTACAGGAGAGCATGCTCAATGGACGTATACCACCCTCGGGAGTTGTTGGTGGTTTTCAACTCGAAATCGGAGCCAGTGGATCCTTCTATCCAGCCCATCTGAAGCTACCAGTTGTGGCGTACTTCTTCCATCTTTCTGAAGACAATGCTCCCTCGCCCTATTTGGGTTTCGTAGATCTTAGTAATCTTCCAAATAAACGCGGCTACCACGTTCCAAAGAAGGGCGCTATTCAAGTGAGTTTGCTACATCTGATTCACCGTTTGCCGATAAGTAAAACCTTTTCACATTCGTCTTTTCTCTCCTTTCCGCTTTTTATTTCTCCACTTGCTCACCCCATTTGGCGCAACTACAGAGAGTTGACTGCTCAGCACACCCCACCGGTTAGTCACATCTGAGATACAGACATTCAGGCGCAAATTACTGTGGTTCCACATTATGCTAGTCGTATCGTCGACTCAGCCTTTTTCACTGTTTGCTTTGAAGTTGCGTGTCAGTGTCTTTACAGGCTTACTCTGTGTCAGCACTTTGTACCCCAAACTACAAAGCTTCATTTGTCGGCGGATTTGTAAAAGAAGCTTTAGGAAACAAGGAGAAGGATGTAATTAGGCGAGCCGTTCTGTAGCTTTGAAGATATCTTAAATCCATGTCTGCCCCGTCAGTTTGTACCCTTTTTGGGGGCAGTATGGTAAGTACTGTCTTGCACTTTACCTACAGTTGCAGCAGGACCCGCGTACTGTCGCAAAAAGTGCCGCATCCACCCTCTGCATTGCTTCTTGGCCGTTGAAGGCGATCTCTCCCCCCGCTCCGTGAATGCCCATGACTTTGAATGATATAGTGCGTATGACCTGACGCACAATTTCCGCCTATGTGTTCGTGTCATTGACTAGGCCACTGCTGGCGTCATAGGCGAATGCACAAAAAAGACCTAGTCAGACATGTCTGCGCATCGGCACACAAAAACAGCAGACGGAATAGCTATTTTTAAAACAGAAGGCGGCTATCCGTGTCTTGTGCTTTCATGCCAGGCTTACTGTCTGGCCTTGCATTGTAAAACATCTTTGCGTTAGCCTGTTACGTGGTAACTGACAAATGGATACCCTCTGTCATATTTTTCCCGTCCATTCTTCCAAATTCGATTTCTTCCCTATCACCTGATCCAATTTCCCGGCGCTCATTTCCTTTCTGTTTTTCTACTTTCCGATTCTTGTTTTCCCCTATACACGATTCAATACTCGGTAAAACGGCAAACGCACATCCCCCCGTGCAGTTACAGTGGAAAAGGAATCAGTCTTGCGGTATTGGAGATGCAGTGTTCGTGTTGACATCACGGTGGAAGTGAATGCGCCCAAGTAGGCTAATCTGCTAGTAGAATACGAGTTGACGGGGCGAAGATATTGAGAGTGGTTTGACACCGACCATACTTTTCCGAGGTATTCTGTACTTGCCTGCCTGGCTGTGGCTTTACTTTGGCTTTCTATGCTCGGTTACTAGGAGCGTGCTGATCCGAACACAAAACGTAACTTAATTAGCAGATGAGATCCATTGACGTTCTCAGCTGTTTGCGTTGACAGCACCACCAGCAACCATCGTTTCTAATTTAACCGTCATTAATCGTACCGCATCGACGTATATTTGCGTGCCTAGTGTTTGTCACGTCACCACAGCTAGCTAGCCTGCATTGCCTGTTTCAAGCGGACTTTGCCCCTCTCTTGCAGTACAGATTGTTCGAATTTATCACGTTTGTTTGTTCCGTCATTCCGCCAGGATAATATTTTCATTCGTTGTTATTTTTCAGTCTCCTGACTCCTGTTTGCCTCTTTGCTTTTTTCTCCGTCTCTTGAACCTTCCCACAACTTTACTCGTTTTTTTCCACGCCTATTTGCCTAAGTAATCAACCTTTCTCCTTCTCGATATCCTCGTAGTGTCATGCCTCTTTCCTTCCTATTTTCAGCTCGCTCTTTTCAATCCCACCAGCTCTCTGCTGAAGGTATTTGTAATTCAATACGACCTAGAGGACATGCCAGCCAACTGTCAGACGTTTCTACGTCAACGCACAGTTTACGTGCCCGTTAAGAAGTGCCTTGACGGCTTCCCAAACAACAGCGATAGGAATGCTGATAGTGGTAGTACGTACAACATCAGCGAAAAGAACACCCAGCTGGCTGGCCGGAGGCTGCAGCATCTCCCCGTCGACTCAAAAGCCGGTCTTCTGTTTGTTTCTGGGTCCGGAGCGCACGAGACCGACGGCGGCGCCAACGGCG